CTTCCATTTTATCAAAGAGTCCAAAAAAAAGAAATACAGCCAAAAACCATACAAAATATACTGCAAAGAGGCGGCTAAAGGCTGAGAATGCTCCCCCTTTTTTTGTCCGCTTTTTTATTTTTTTTTGTAAGTTAAGAAACATCTTTCCATATACATTGCCCAAGTTTTTAATGAGATAGCCCAACAAACAACCCAAAAAAAAAAAATATTTACCAAAAATCATATATGGGGAAGCCCAAGCCGGTAGAAATAAGTCACTTTGTCTGCTTTCTGGGTTATCCCAGGTTTTTTATACAACACTGCTATGTATGATAATCTGTGTAACTTTTTTGTGTATACCTAATAAACTTTTTTACTTCTAGCTGTCAACTGGTCAAAAAACCGCCCTTCACTTATTTCAAATACCCCAAAAAAGTGGGGCAGAAGTTGGCAATTTGGCCAATTTCAACAAATTTCAACAATGCCCAATTTCAAAAAAAGGATCCAGAATAAACAAAGCAGACATTTCCCGGCACTAATATTTTCTCTGTTCATTATCACGGGTACAGGCCCTCTTATATTACTCTTGCTTACCTTTGGGAATTTTTTTTCACAAAAAATAAAGATTTACTGTTACAGACTACTGCATTATTTAATTAAAGATAAATAATGTCAATCCTTCTTTACTCCGTACTGAAAATTTTGGCTGGGAGGCGGACAGGTATTGGACGGTGACGTCATTTGTTTTTCTTGAGCTTCGCTAAAGAAAAAGAAAATTTTTTACTACTGTGAGTGCAATTTCAAGGTACTTTTCGTCATGAAAGCAAACAAAAAACATATCATTTTGTAAAAATCTTTATTCTATCAAAAAGAACTGAAAAAAAGAGAATATAACCAAAAAAACCATACAAAAAATTTCCGCTAAGCGGCCGCTAAGGGTGAGAATGAACTCCCTATTTATGGTCTGATTTTTCCATTTTTTTGGGGACGTGAAGAATATCTTTCCATCATACATTGCCCAAGTTTTTAAAAAGATAACCCAAAAAACAATGAGAAAAAAATAAAAAACGATTGTTGGGGTGTGGGGAAAGGGGAATTTTAGTGAAGGGGGTTTTTGGGAAACTGGTTATTTTCTATAGTCAACTTGAGCCTGGAAATGGGGAAATACAATGGTGCACTTTAAAGGGGGTTTTGGGGTATTGCAGTTTGGAGGGGTGTTTGTTGTATTTTATCGTAATGTTTTTTAAACTGTTTTTATTCGAGCACCCCTGCAAAAGCAGTGATAATGGTGAGGTGGTGAAAGTGTTGAATATGTGAAAGTAATTTTTTTTTTGGGGGTTTTCTTTTTTTTGGGGGCACCCTGCCTCGGGGGAGACGGCCCCTTGTTGAAAAAAAAAAAAAAACTTTATTTTTACACGTACATTGCAAGGTATACAGGCCTAGCTGACATCGTGACATACTATGTTAAAAGGGGACTTTTATTCAAAATTTATTCTCTAAAGGGTTACAATGCTGGAACGAATTTTGGTTATTGTGTGGTTTCATGTATAAAAAATAAAATTTCAGTGTGTACCCCTAGAACACCTAGCATGGGTAGCATTTCGGGCAGACTTAAATTAAAACTTAAGTTTAAAATATTACAAAAATTTTGAGGGGAAGTTGGTATTATGGCTAAGTGACAAATATAGTTTGTGGTTTAGCAATGTGAATGCTTTTGTTTTGGTATCATAGTTTCGTATGGATATCACAGGCCAACTTAGACATTAAGATTCTTATTTTTGAGATTGAATTGATATTTTGTTTATGGGCAAAAAGGGTGAGGAGTGTAAGTGTTAAACCCCCAGGTGGTACGGAATTAGTTGCAGGGTTATCAGGGGGATAAAGTTTTTGAGGTAGTTTTGAAGGTGATGAATGTGCTGCAGTTTTAGAATTTTTAGGGAGGTGTTCCAGATTTTAGGGCCTTTGACATACATTGAATTTTTGTAAAGTTTGTCGGACACGGGGAATTCATAGAGATGTTTTTGTCTGGTGTTGTGCCTGTGGGTTCTGTCGCAAAATTAAAAAGCGTTTTAGGTCAAGGTTAATATGGAAATTTTAAGGTCCTGTAGATGTAATTGCACAATGTAAGTTGGATGTACTGAACAGGGAGTAAGTTTTTGATCCTTTAAGAGTGGGGGGTGTGTTGCCAGGGGTGGGATTTAGTGATTATTCTTACGTGGTTTTTTTTGGGGTTTTTATTGGGTTTAGGTGGTTGCTGCAGTTGAACCCAAGCACGATGATAGGTGAGGTATGGATATAAAGTGAATGGTATAGTGTAGAAGGGGGAGTTTCGGCCGTATAGTATCTTTGGGGAAAGGAAACTCAACCTTTTTGGGCTTTTTGTTTGTGTTGGATATGGGTGCTGAAATTTTGGGGGTTGTCAAGGGATAGGTTAGGAATTTGCCCCCATTACCTGGGAATTAGAGTTGCGATCTTTAAAGTTAATTTTCGCTCTCCTGCCTTTTTCCAAAAATATTAGTAGGTTTTTTTCAGTGTTAAGCGTAATTTATTGCTTCTCCAAATCGATATTTTGTCAGCTCATCATTAACAAAGGTGTTGGGGTGGCAAGATTAGGGTGAGAGATGACATAATCGTGCGTCAGCAAAAAGGGAATGGGGTTCAGGGGTTTAATAGTTTGGAAGATCATTGATGTAATGAGGAAAATAGGGGGGCCAAGGACTTTCCTGCGGAACTCAGTATCAAGTCGCTGTGTTTTTGATGTGTGTCTTTTAAAGGTGACAAGATACCCATTAGAAGGTAAGATTTAAATATCAAGCCATGGGCCCCTTTTAACCCTAATGGTGAAGTTTGGGGATAGGGTGCCGTAGTCACTGTGTCAAAAGCTTTTTTTAGGTGAATAAAAATTCCAGGGATATCCTTTTTTTCCAATGCTGTGTAAAGCAATCTAGCATTTTTATGATTGCATCGTTTTGGCTTTTTTTTTTTCCTGAATCCAAATTTGGGAGGGGTTGATATAATTTTTTGCGTTATAAAAAGAATACAGTCTCCTGTGCACGTTTCTCAAAGATTTGGATAGCAATGGTAAGTTTTATATTTGGGCCCATAGTTGTTTAAATTGTAGGGTCACCACCTTTATTATTGGGGTAACCCTTCCTCTTGAGTAGTTTTAGGGAAGTGCTAGTTTCTATTTACTTGTTAAAAGTAATGAGTAGCGCGGAGGACATGGGCCGCCCTCTTGTCAATAATGGGGGACATGAGACAGATTCCCCCAGTTTTTTTAAGTGATTTTTAATTTTGGTGACTTCCGGCTCAGTTGGAGCAAGATAGAAGGAATTTGGAATTCCCATCTGGATCCCCGGGATGGGGATTGGTGCTGGGGTTTTATTGCAATTAGAACCTATGGTTGGAAGAAGTGTTTATCTTGTTACTGTGTCGTGGGATGGGGGGTGTTTCATTGGTTTTTAGGGGAAAAATTTTTTGGGTTTTTTTTAGTTTGTGGGTCCCTAGAATTAGAGAGTGTTTTCCAGCTTTTTATATCTCCCTTGTGTCATGAATTACTGGGGTGTATAGTTGTTTGGCTTTTTTTTTATTCTTTGTAGCTGATGAATGTGTTTAAGAATATCTTTTGTATTTAAACCCCGTCTATATTCTTTCAATTGGTGTTTCTTATCAAAGGGTTTCAAATTCGTTTGCCATGGGCAACCAAAGCCGTTTGTTTGTGATCTGTTTCGTTTTTTTTAGGACAATGTTTTTGTTAGTCTAAGTAATTTGTTTAAAAAAAATGTCGTCATCATCAAAACCTTGGCCTTGGAGATTCTGTGGGGCCGTCAAAAAGCTCAGGTCAGCTGTGAATTCCATTGGGGGCCTCATCATGGGGTCTAAAAGAAACTTTGTTGTATTCAGTAGTGGTTTATAATTTTTTCAAGAGGGAAGGGAGGGTGTGGTCTGTAGTGCTATCTGTGATTTCCCCGATTTAAAAGGGGGCTAGTATATTGGTCCAATGTGGTCTATTATGGTTTTCACTTGTTTCATGGCCTGGTTTGGTTTTTTTTATTTTGGATGAGAAGGTGTTGTTCATATTTTTGATGAAAAACAGTTACAGGGATCATCTGTAGGCCAAAGGTTGATGTTGAAGTCTCCGCTAAAAAGGTGGTGCTGAGTATTTCAAGAAAATTAGTCATGTCCCCCGAAACACCCACACTATCGACTAACACCCCGGGACCCCTTTACTGATGGGTAAACAAGACAACAGGTGTAAAAAAACACCCTAAAGTTTCTACCCTGGCTGGGAAACGAATATTTACCAAAAATCATATATGGCAAACCCCAAACCAGGTACTAAAAAAAAGCCACGTTTACTTTTTTTTGGGGTTTTCCTTGGTTCTTACCATAGCTGCTATGGTGATAACATAGAAGAAAATAACTTTTTTGTTTCAGTTTATGGTGGAGACGGTGTATATCATAGTTTTTTTTTTTAACATGTGAGCCGTCTCCACACCTCCTCCTAATTTCCACACTACAAATTCTCTGCATAATATTTACACCACACATTTTCCCTTACACACGACATCTCCATTGCCTCCAGCTACCTCCTTGCTGCAGCATTTACAACCCATGCTTCACACCCATATAAGAGTGTTGGTACCATACTTTCATTCCCTTCTTTGCCTCCATAGATAGTGTTCTTTGCTTCCACAGATACCTCAGTGCTCTACTCACCTTTTTTCCTTCATCAGTTCTATGGTTTACCTCATCCTTCATTAACCCATCCTCTGACAAGTCAACTTGCAAATGTCTGAAAACATTCACTTCTTCCATACTCCCTCCCTCCAATGTGATATCTAATTTTTCTTTATCTAAATCGTTTGATACCCTCATCACCTTACTCTTATCTATATTCACTTTCAAGTTTCTACCTTCACACACCCTTTATTCATATACTTTATTCACCAGAAGCTTTACCATTACAGTGAAAGGAGATAAGCGTGAAGAGATGGTAATCCATTAATTCTTTCTCATAGGATGTACTTGTGATGAGTGTGGCACTCGCAACTGTCAGCACTTCTCTGGTGTATGTGAATGTTACGGTAATGTCATTGGTGACCAGTGTGAGCGATGTGCACCCGACCACTGGGGATTTGCTTCTTGTCAGGTATGAAATGACATTCTACTAGAGATGTCTGCAGGCACATTATGTTTGTTTCATTTACTTATTTTTACAGTTTGATATTATCTAAGAAATAAAGAAAACAAGCAACAGTGGATCTGTAGAAATCTGCAGAATTAAAAATTAGTTTAGTCATTTTTATGAATTGTTTAAATTGGAGAATATTTTTTGGTCTTAGTTATCTTTAATTACAAAAAACATAAGTTCTAAGACTTAATATTTCCATTGTGGTAGTTTTGAAAATTGTAAAGGTTGTTGTTATAGGATTGAAACATGTGTTGATGTCTGTGTGTGACACATCATTTTGAATGCATATCATTGACCTTCATTGTATGGTGAGTAAGTTTAATAATAATAACTATCAGTCTAGAGTTATGCAAGTTATTTTGATAAATGTTTGTCAGTGTTTTCATGCTGAATCTCTTAAGAAATGCTTTCAGAATCTACTGAAGGCTATAGCTGTCAGTATCATCTTTGTATGAACCTTATACTGGATTATGAAAATGTTTGGAAAAGAAGAATAAGAATTGCAATACATTCACAAGTAACCCACAAATTGGTGATGATATTTTAGACAACATTTCACTCCAGTATTAAATTAGCACAGCAGTTGTAAAGCTTCACATGTCATACTGTGAATTACAATGGTCATGGGGCAGTTTTTATGTTAGTTAAAGGGCAGCTTTGCAAAACTGGTTCATTTTACAACTGGTGGATCTTGCTCTCATAGATGTCAGATTTCAAAATAATGGGACTCAAGTTTATTTTGGTATCACAGAAATATATGCTCGAGAATTGATAATGAATAATTGTATTATATCTGTACTACTGATACATAGTCTTTACTGGGGGTGATCATTCTTTATGGCAAGATCTGTACACTTCTTATAATTCTAATAAAAATTATTGTTTGTATTGTTGTGTGTAAATATTACTATTTTAGTATCTGCAAATACTGTACTTTATTTTACATTAAGTTTAGACAGGAAACTACTGTAGGTGTTATAATTGTATTTATGTTTTTTTTGGTCATGTATTCAGGGAATGTCAGCCTTGCTACTGTGGTATAGCATCATTGAGAAGCCAGTGTGATGAAGGTACAGGACAGTGTGAGTGTAGCAGCGGAGTCACCGGCCAACGCTGTGATCAGTGTATGCCTGGCTTCTGGAACTACACTCAGTATGGCTGCCAAGGTGATCACTTTAACTATCCTGATGACTGGGGCAACACCCCAACAAGCAGATATAAGGAAACCATACCACGAGTAGGGTTTGAACCCGTGATCATCTGTAAAATCTTGCATTTGTGGTCACAGTGGTGCCTATGCTAACCTTCCTATGGTGTAGAAATATACAGTGGTCCCTCGCTTTTCGTAGTTCTCGGCAATCGTAAATTTCGCCAATCATAGGGGTATTTTCGTATAAACATGGACTCGCTTTTCATAGGTTGACTCGCAAATAGTAGTTCGTCTGGGACGCATACGCACGGTGTGAGCTGGGGTGGCGTCCCTACCCAGCCAGTCTGGCATTGTTTACCAGTGAGTGAAGGTCCCCTCAAGTGCTCCTACGAAATATTTCATAATATTCCACTCATTTTAGTGCTTGCAATTACTAAATAAGCTACCATGGCTCCAAAGAAAGCTTCTAGTGCCAAGCCTGTGGTAAAGAAGGTGAGAAATATGTACAGTGACAATGTCTTGGGCCATTTTCGGGAAGTGTTAAAGAGACGCCAGAAACAGAGCTCTCTCCACAGTTACTTTGCGAGACAGGACTAGAGTGACTTTCAAGGTGGTCCTAGTGGCATTAAGAAACAGAGAAGAGAAGCAATCCCAGAGAACCAATTGGTACCTGAGGTGTTGCTGGAAGGGGATTCCCCTTCCAAACTGTAAACAATCCAATCTCTCTCCTCCTCCAGTCTCACATACACTAAGAAGAATCTCCAATAAAGGTAAGTGTTATGCTGTTAATGTTTCATTCATCATTTCCCATTGTATTGTTTATGTACTATATGTATATTTCATGTAAAAAATTTTTTTGTTTTAATACTTCTGGGTGTCAGGAACGGATTAATTGTATTTACATTATTTCTTATGGGAAAATTTGATTCGCAAATCGTAAATTTCGTTTATAGTAATGGCTCCAGGAACGGATTAATTACGAAAAACGAGGGACCACTGTACCTAGTTGGATGAATCTTATTGAAGCTAGCTGGCCCAGTGGTTAATGTGATGGTCTGGAGTTTTGAGACGCTCTGATCGCTGGTTCAAACCCCACCCGTGGTATGGTTTGTTTGTAATCATGTCATTACGATTTATAAGTCAAGATATAAAGCTAAGGTGTGAAATTTATTGAGCTCACACCTGTACAAAATAGTGTGTTCATTACATGCCTTCATCTATCATTTTATGCACTTTGTGTTGACTTGATGTGTATGCATTTACTTTTTAATCGTTTATTGGTGAATAATGTCTTGAATAATTTTGTTAGGTGTTACAAAAAATGCAATTCTAAAAGCTTAGAGATCTCCAGTGAATACTAGAAAGGACTGCCCTTCTAGCATCCAGCCCATTACTGGGTTTTTGTAACAATTAGTCAGTATCCTTGTCCAATTATCCATTAGAATTCAGTATGATTCAATAGTGCTTCAGGATTACAACTGGTAGGCTACTAACTAGAGAAATTAAAATTTAATAAATTTATTAAGTATAGTCTAGAGGTATATTATCAAAATAAATTAAATTAATCAATTCAAACAAATTAATAATAATCACTTCTCTCGTGTACAATATTATTGTGCTGAAAGCACATATCACATATATAAGTCTTAAGTACCGTCTGGTACATTAACATTTTATAATACAATATACAAGTAAGTGTGTGTATGTGTGTAAGTCCTCTAAGTAGTTCGCTATGTCTCACGACTCGACTAGACTTAAACAAGTGACTGACAAAGTCCTCAAATAAACTAACTTCTTGACCAACTGGCAATCAGAACAGTCTGCTTGAACAACAAAAAAAAATGCTAAGCCCAATAGCAATATAACAAGCAACTGCGACACAGAATCAGGAACAAGAAGATAATATAACGACAATAAGTAGGGACCATCAGCAGATCCTCCACAAAAGTCACAAAACTCCCATACTACTGAATCTAAGTTCAGCATAAGAAAATCCCTGACTGTGACAGTACACAGAAACCAGTACAAATTAGGTCAGAAGCTACAGCTCAGGACCTGAGTTGCTCAGAGTGTCTAAGAGACACACAACCTCAGTACAACGTCGAAAATCACTAAGTCTATCCAAAGTTCTGTGAACAGTCTCCAGAACTAACAGGAATAATGAGACAAGACGATCTTCCAGCAAGGGCCAATGAGGTAGAATTAGGCACTTCTTGTCAGGAATACGTCCAACCACCAAGAGAGTCTAGACCAGACTGAATACTTCAGGCGAGGTGTGGACACCCCCCCTCGATCACGTGATAGCTCTGCGGACAGCTGCAGCTCAGCAACAGAAGCCGGCAGAGTAACGAGCAAAGAGCGATAATTACAGTAGTTAGACAATCAAGACTTGAACTTTGAGCACATAATATATGTGTTACATCCTACCTAACAAAATAACTAAGTCAAATAATAATATAAAGCAATACATTTACGATTTAGCTATTATCGCAAATATAAGCAATATAAAATTATATGAAAAGGTAATAATTATATATATACATATTAATCATTGCAACCCATTCAGGGGTTGCAACATTAGGTCTACTGGAATATTTTACTATTGGAGTTTTCTGAGGTAGTTGAAAGTTGTGTAAATAAAAAAAAAGATGTAGTAGAGGCAATGGAATACTTCTAACCCTTAAACTGTCCAAATAAATTTACGTTCACATGCGTAGTGCTCCAAAAGTAGATCTTCGTTTTTTTACATGTTTTAAATATAAAAAAAAAAATAGATAAAAGTTTTTTTTACACCTTTTCAAATGTAAAGAAAAAAAAAGATCTACGTTTTTTTACATACTTTCAAATGTTGAAAAAACGTAGATCTACGTTTGGACAGTTTAAGGGTTAAAGAAGGGAAAATATTGACAGCAAGGAAATGAGTGAGCTACTCAAGTCCCAATATGACTCAGTTTTTAGCAAACCGCTAACCAGACTGAGAGTCGAAGATCAAAATGAATTTTTTATGAGAGAGCCACAGAATTTGGTTAACACAAGCCTATCCGATGTTATCCTGACGCCAAATGACTTTGAACAGGCGATAAATGACATGCCCATGCACTCTGCCCCAGGGCCAGACTCATGGAACTCCGTGTTCATCAAGAACTGCAAGAAGCCCCTATCACGAGCCTTTTCCATCCTATGGAGAGGGAGCATGGACACGGGGGTCGTCCCACAGTTATTAAAAACAACAGACATAGCCCCACTCCACAAAGGGGGCAGTAAAGCAACAGCAAAGAACTACAGACCGATAGCACTAACATCCCATATCATAAAAAGCTTTGAAAGGGTCCTAAGAAGCAAGATCACCAGCCATCTAGAAACCTATCAGTTACACAACCCAGGGTAACATGGGTTTAGAACAGGTCGCTCCTGTCTGTCTCAACTATTGGATCACTACGACAAGGTCCTAGATGCACTAGAAGACAAAAATAATGCAGATGTAATATATACAAACTTTGCAAAAGCCTTCGACAAGTGTGACCATGGCGTAATAGCGCACAAAATGCGTGCTAAAGGAATAACAGGAAAAGTTGGTCGATGGATCTATAATTTCCTCACTAACAGAACACAGAGAGTAGTCGTCAACAGAGTAAAGTCCGAGGCAGCTACGGTGAAAAGCTCTGTTCCACAAGGCACAGTACTAGCTCCCATCTTGTTCCTCATCCTCATGTCCGACATAGACAAGGATGTCAGCCACAGCACCGTGTCTTCCTTTGCAGATGACACCCGAATCTGCATGACAGTGTCTTCCATTGCAGACACTGCAAGGCTCCAGGCGGACATCAACCAAATCTTTCAGTGGGCTGCAGAAAAAAAATATGAAGTTCAACGATGAGAAATTTCAATTACTCAGATATGGTAAGCACGAGGAAATTAAATCTTCATCAGAGTACAAAACAAATTCTGGCCACAAAATAGAGTGAAACACCAACGTCAAAGACCTGGGAGTGATCATGTCGGAGGATCTCACCTTCAAGGACCATAACATTGTATCAATCGCATCTGCTAGAAAAAATGACAGGATGGATAATGAGAACCTTCAAAACTAGGGAGGCTAACTCATGATGACACTCTTCAGGTCACTTGTTCTATCTAGGCTGGAATATTGCTGCACACTAACAGCACCTTTCAAGGCAGGTGAAATTGCTGAACTAGAAAATGTACAGAGAACCTTCACGGCACGCATAACGGAGATAAAACACCTCAATTACTGGGAGCGCTTGAGTTTCCTAAACCTGTATTCCCTGGAATGCAGGCGGGAGAGATACATGATTATATACACCTGGAAAATCCTAGAGGGACTAGTACCAAACTTGCACACGAAAATCACTCACTACGAAAGCAGAAGACTTGGCAGATGATGCAACATCCCCCCAGTGAAAAGCAGGGGTGTCACTAGCATGTTAAGAGACCATACAATAAGTGTCAGGGGCCCGAGACTGTTCAACTGCCTCCCAGCATACATAAGGGGGATTACCAATAGACCCCTGGCAGTCTTCAACCTGGCACTGGTCAAGCACCTAAAGTCGGTTCCTGACCAGCCGGGCTGTGGCTCATACGTTGGTTTGCGTGCAGCCAGCAGTAACAGCCTGGTTGATCAGGCTCTGATCCACCAGGAGGCCTGATCACAGACCACGCCGCGGGGGGCGTTGACCCCTGGAACTCTCTCCAGGTAAACTCCAGAGGGTGACCCTTGCTATTTTGAGAACTGTAGGGAAGGTAGAGGATTCTATGGATATGTTAAAGAGTGTTGCAATGATTGGTGATAGCACTTGTGACAGTTTTTTGTTGATAATACGGGAGACTTCAGTAGGGTTAGTCGGAGCTAGGAACAGTGTGTTCGGGTAGTTGCCAGTGAGGTAGTCATTGGGTGGGGTATCTGAGCTTGGGATTTTATTGGCAAGGTTTTTTCCTATAGTGGAAAAGAAATTATTGAGTCTGTTTGCTGTTTCAGTTGGTGGGAGTTGGGGTTCATCTGGTTTTGTTAATTTAATTTCACTATTTTGTGATATCTTTTTTGTTCCTAGAATTTCTGATAGGTTTTCCAGGTCTTTTTTATGTCACCTCATAAGTTGGATAATCTGTTCTCATAATACAATTTTTTAGCCCTTCTTATAAGGCTGGTTTGTTTGATCTCTGGTTATGTAACTCATTCTGTACTGTTTTTCATATAGGTGCTTTCTATTTATGGATTTGAGGATGCTGGGTGTTAGCCAGGGACTGTTCAGTCTCTTAGCTATCATCTGTTTAGTTTTTTTGGGGCAGTGCTTGTTATAGAGGTATTCGGTCTTTTTTAGAAAGTTATTAATACATTCATCAATATCTGTATAGATTTTTAGCTCAGTGTGCCAGTCAATGTTTGTCACTGCTGCTGTGAAGTTATTAATGGCTGCCTCATTGTGAAGTCTGAAAGTGACTTTAGTAGTGTCTTGAGGTAATTTGCCAAGATTTGTTAAGAGGAAGCTAGGGTAGTGATCTGTGGTATTATCTGTGATTATGCTTGATTTTAAAGGGGATATGGTGTTGGTCCAGATGTGGTCTAGTAGGGAAACACTAGTCTCTGTAATCTTGTAGGTTTTGTTACTGTTGGTAGCAACATGCAGTTAAATCATAGTGTTTGTGAATTCAGTAACGTGTGGGTCCTGGTCTTGCAGAAGATTTATATTGAAGTCACCTGAGAGTAGTAAGTGATCTTTGTTCATGCATGCATCAGTTATCATACTTCCTAGGTTTTCACTAAAACGGCTAATGTTTGACTTTGGTACTCTGTAGATGTTTATCACTGTGAGAGGTTTTTGTAGGTATTTGAATTTAGCTATTATATATTCTCCATGTTCATCCCTTGTGCAAGTATTAGTGATACATTCTAGTTGGTCTGAGTAGTATATAGCTGTGCCATCCCCTTGTTGATCTGGCCTACAGTTGTGTATGGCTGTGTAACCAGGAATGGCATAGACATCCGTAGTATCAGGCTTTAGCCAGGTTTTGGTGAGAGTAATGATGGATATACTGGCATGCAGGGAATTTAGTAATGCTATGAGGTCATCGTAATGTTTACTTAAAGATCTGATGTTGTAGTTAAAGACAGTTATGTTGTTGTTGGCTCTTGGGAAGTGCCTTTGATTGTTCTGCTGTGTAGTAATTACAGTTACTGTTTGATTCATTGAAGTCATTCAATAAGAGGTTGGTATCAGGATCAATGCTTGTTATCATAAGATTTATAGTGAATCTATAGTTAGAATTAAGTATAAGACAAAGTAAATATTGCATGTTTATGAGACAGAAAATGGACACCAGCAATCCTACCATCATGTAAAACAATTACAGGCTTTCGTTTTACACTCATTTGGCAGGACAGTAGTACCTTCCTGGGCAGTTGCTGTCTACCAACCTACTACCTAGCATACATATATATATATATATATATATATTTTTTTTTCAACAAGTCGGTTGTCTCCCACCGAGGCAGGGTGACCCAAAAAAGAAAGAAAATCCCCAAAAAGAAAATACTTTCATCATCATTCAACACTTTCACCACACTCACACATTATCACTGCTTTTGCAGAAGTGCTCAGAATACAACAGCTTAGAAGCATATACGTATAAAGATACACAACATATCCCTCCAAACTGCTAATATCCCTAACCCCTCCTTTAAAGTGCAGGCATTGTACTTCCCATTTCCAGGACTCAAGTCCGACTATATGAAAATAACCGGTTTCCCTGAATCCCTTCACTAAATATTACCCTGCTCACACTCCAACAGATCGTCAGGTCCCAAGTATCATTCGTCTTCATTCACTCCTATCTAACATGCTCATGCACGCTTGCTGGAAGTCCAAGCCCCTCGCCCACAAAACCTCCTTTACCCCCTCTTTCCAACCCTTTCGAGAACGACCCCTACCCCTCTTTCCTTCCCCTATAGATTTATATGCTTTCCATGTCATTCTACTTTGATCCATTCTCTCTAAATGACCAAACCACCTCAACAACCCCTCTTCTGCCCTCTGACTAATGCTTTTATTAACTCCACACCTCACTATCCTCATAAAAGCTCTTTACAGCATTTAGTAACTTATCACCTATTCCATATACTTGCAACATCTGCCACATTGCTCCTCTATCCACTCTATCATGTGCCTTTTCTAAATCCATAAATGCAATAAAAACTTCTTTACCTTTATCTAAATACTGTTCACATATATGCTTCAATGTAAACACTTGATCTACACATCCCCTACCCACTCTGAAGCCTCCTTGCTCATCCGCAATCCTACATTCTGTCTTACCTCTAATTCTTTCAATTATAACCCTACCGTACACTTTTACTGGTATACTCAGTAAACTTATTCCTCTATAATTTTTACAGTCTCTTTTGTCCCCTTTCCCTTTATATAAAGGGACTATACATGCTCTCCGCCAATCCCTAGGTACCTTCCCCTCTTTCATACATTTATTAAACAAAAGTACCAACCACTCCAACACTATATCCCCCCCTGCTTTTAACATTTCTGTCATGATCCCATCAGTTCCAGCTGCTTTACCCCCTTTCATTCTACGTAGTGCCTCACGTACCTCCACCACACTTACAGTCTGCTCTTCTTTACTCCTAAAAGATGGTATACCTCCCTGGCCAGTGCAATGTAAAAAGAGAGCAAATTAGAGAGTGGGTGAGATGTTATCAACAAATTTTGTTGAAAATAAGAAAAAGTTTTGGAGTGAGATTAACAAGTTAAGAAAGCCTAGAGAACAAATGGATTTGTCAGTTAAAAATAGGAGAGGAGAGTTATTAAATGGAGAGTTAGAGGTATTGGGAAGATGGAGGGAATATTTTGAGGAATTGTTAAATGTTGATGAAGATAGGGAAGCTGTGATTTCGTGTATAGGGCAAGGAGGAACAACATCTTGTAGGAGTGGAGGAAGAGCCAGTTGTGAGTGTGGGGGAAGTTCGTGAGGCATTAGGTAAAATGAAAGGGGGTAAGGCAGCCAGGATTGATGGGATAAAGATAGAAATGTTTAAAAGCAGGTGGGGATATAGTTTTGGAGTGGTTGGTGCAATTATTTAATAAATGTATGGAAGAGGGTAAGGTACCTAGGGATTGGCAGAGAGCATGCATAGTTCCTTTGTATAAAGGCAAAGGGGATAAAGAGAGTGCAAAAAATTATAGGGGGATAAGTCTGTTGAGTGTACCTGGCAAAGTGTATGGTAGAGTTATTATTGAAAGAATTAAGAGTAAGACAGAGAATAGGATAGCAGATGAACAAGGAGGCTTTAGGAAAGGTAGGGGGTGTGTGGACCAGGTGTTTTACAGTGAAACAGTATTTAGATAAGGCTCTAAAGAGGTCTTTGTGGCATTTATGGATTTGGAAAAGGCGTTATGACAGGGTGGATAGGGGGGCAATGTGGCAGATGTTGCAGGTGTATGGTGTAGGAGGTAGGTTACTGAAAGCAGTGAAGAGTTTTTACGAGGATAGTGAGGCTCAAGTTAGAGTATGTAGGAAAGAGGGAAATTATTTCCCAGTAAAAGTAGGCCTTAGACAAGGATGTGTGATGTCACCGTGGTTGTTTAATATATTTATAGATGGGGTTGTAAGAGAAGTAAATGCGAGGGTCTTGGCAAGAGGCGTGGAGTTAAAAGATAAAGAATCACACATAAAGTGGGAGTTGTCACAGTTGCTCTTTGCTGATGACACTGTGCTCTTGGGAGATTCTGAAGAGAAGTTGCAGAGATTGGTCGATGAATTTGGTAGGGTGTGCAAAAAGAAGAAAATTGAAAGTGAATACAGGAAGAGTAAGGTTATGAGGATAACAAAAAGATTAGGTGATGAAAGATTGGATATCAGATTGGAGGGAGAGAGTATGGAGGAGGTGAATGTATTCAGATATTTGGGAGTGGACGTGTCAGCGGATGGGTCTATGAAAGATGAAGTGAATCATAGAATTGATGAGGGGAAAAGGGTGAGTGGTGCACTTAGGAGTCTGTGGAGACAAAGAACTTTGTCCTTGGAGGCAAAGAGGGGAATGTATGAGAGTATAGTTTTACCAACGCTCTTATATGGGTGTGAAGCATGGGTGATGAATGTTGCAGCGAGGAGAAGGCTGGTGGCAGTGGAGATGTCATGTCTGAGAGCAATGTATGGTGTGAATATAATGCAGAGAATTCGTAGTTTGGAAGTTAGGATGAGGTGCGGGATTACCAAAACTGTTGTCCAGAGGGCTGAGGAAGGGTTGTTGAGGTGGTTCGGACATGTGGAGAGAATGGAGCGAAACAGAATAACTTCAAGAGTGTATCAGTCTGTAGTGGAAGGAAGGCGGGGTAGGGGTCGGCCTAGGGAAGGTTGGAGGGAGGGTTTGACAAGGTTAGGTTAAGGATCCCTATCTTTATTGACTAGCTATTTACAAGTTAAGGATTCCTAACTTTATTGACAAGCTAAGAACTGTTACCTACATCAGCTCATTTGAAAGCATTTTTATTGTTATGAAACAAATATTTTTATTATGAAACATACAAGTAGGAAACAGGATGACGTTGGAGCCGTCTGTGGACCAGCATTTTCATTTGATCAACTGACTTTATCTCGTTGACATCATAATGCTGTAGAAATGTGTTCCTTACTCGAGTTATCCTGGGGATAAATGTGGATAAAGCTATCAGTTTCTCTTCACTGATGACACTACTTTTGGGAGACTTGGAAGAGAAGCTGCAAAGTTTGGTGGTAGAATTTTCTTGAATTTGTAAACAAGAAGTTGAAAGTTAACACAAACAAAGTCAAAGCTGTTGCATTCATTCAATTTTTAATATTATCTTATTTACTCTTTTTTTTTTACAATATTATTCAAATACTTCTAGTTCTTAATGATTTAATTTATTGCAGAGTGTACATGTCGTGAAGGATTCAGTGTGGGTGTTGGTTGTGATCCTCGTACTGGTCAGTGTCAGTGTTTACCAGGTGTGATAGGAACAAACTGTGAAGGTTGTCCCTATAGGTAATGTTCCAATATAGTTATGTATTTTAACTGTAAATGCTAGATACAGCATACTGTATAAGTGTCCCTGGCTTTATGATGTAGATGATTTCCAGGACCAGTGTATGGAATTAACAACAGAAACTGGGCATCACATAATAGCCAATTTATATGAAACAAGCTGAATAAAATATTTGCATTAATGTAGTGTATTTTCTATAATTTTGGATTAGAAGGCTGCCCAGTTCATGGTCCTTCCAGTTCTTATAGGACAAGAGATTTAGATAATNTAAAATTTATTAAAATTCTGAATTCCTTGCATTAAGTACTGGTGTATGTTTGATTTTTTTTTTTTTTACATTTTAGTTTCTTCAACCAGCAGATTGTTTATATTTTTCAGATGGGTCTTGGTTGATGGTGTTGGCTGTCATGAGTGTGAAGAGTGTGTTCATGCTCTGCTTGACACCACAGATCAGCTGTCATGGCTTATTCAACCTACTATTACTGAGTTTGAGGTAAATAACCATAAGAATCTTTCCTCCGTAAGCCATGCGTGTTATAGAAGTCGTCTAAAATGCTGGGAGCAATTGACTAGTAACCCCTTTTCTCGTATAGCTTACTAAAAATAAGAAGAAAACCATCGAAGTGGGATGTTTGAATTTGCATGGATGTAGTGCGAATGATAAGAGATATGATAAGAGAATATGATAAAAGAATGATATGGTAAGAGAATGATAGAATGATAAGAAAGAATTTTTTTTTTTTTTAACATGTCGGCCATTTCCCACCAAGGCAAGGTTACCCAAAAAGAAAGAAAAAACTGTCATCATTCAACACTTTCACCATCATTCATACATAATCACTGTCTTTGCAGAGGTGCTCAGATACGACAGTTTACATGTCTCTCCAAACAGCCAATATCCCAAACTACCACCTCCTTTAAAGTGCAGGTATTGTACTGCCCACCTCCAGGACTCAAGTCTGACTAGCCAGTTACCCTGAATCTCTTCACAAAATATTACCCTACTCACACTCCAACAGCTTGTGAAGTCCCAAAAATCATTTGTCTCCATTCATTCCCATCTAACATGCTCAAGCACACAAGCCCCTCGCCCACAAAACCTCCTTTACCCCCTTTCTCCAATCTTTCCTAGGATGACCCCTACCCTGCCTTCCTTTCCCTACAGATTTATCTGCTAAGGAGGGGTTGTTGAGATAGTTTGGGTTTGTAGAGAGGATGAAGAAGATAGGTTTACAAAGTAAGTGTATAAATCTGGAGTGGAAGGTAAGAGGGGCAGGGATTATCCCAGGCAGGGGGGGAAACAAGAAGCTTTGAGTTTTAGGGTCTTGAGCATCCACACACTCCTACCCAAAATGCTCTCACGAGTATTTTAGGTAGCAGTGTGTGGAGACATGTTTTTTAATGGATGTGCTGTTGGAGTGTGAGTAGAGTAACTTTTATGAAGGGATTCATGGGAAACTGGCAAACTGGATTTGAGTTCTTGAGGTGGGAAAGGCAGCACCTATCTGGGAGTGAACTTGTCATCAGCCGGGTCTATGAAAGATTAGGTGAACCATAGAATTCTGGGGTGGGGGAGGGGAGGTGAATGGTGCATTGAGACATCTCAGGAGGCAAAGAATTTTATCCCTAGAGGCAGAATGTGCCAGATTTTATTGGTACCTGCACTGTTATATGGGTGTGAAGCATGGGTTTTAAATGTTGCAGCGAGGAGGCTGGAGGAAGTGGACATGTCATATCTAAGGGCAATGTGTGGTGTGAATATTATGTAGAGAATTTATAGTTTAGAGATTGGAAAGAGTGGTTACCAAAAGTATTACTCAGAGAGCTGAAGGAGGGTTGTTGAAGTGTTGCTTATTTAGAGAGGATGGAGCAAAATAGGGTGACTAGAAGGGTGTATAAATTTGGGGTGGAGGGCAGGAGGAATATGGGTCATCCTGTGAAATTTGGGTGGGAGGGGGTAAAGGTTTTGTGTGCAAGGGGCTTAGATATCTAACTGGCATTTGTGAGTGTATTAGACAGGAGTGAGTGGAGGCAAGTTGGTTTTATGATTTGACATTATGTTGGAGTGTGAGCAAGATAGCATTTATGAATGGATTCAGGAAAACCAGTTAACTGGACTTGAGTTCTGGAGATAGGCATAAAACTTTCACTTTGAAAGAAGGGTGGGGATGTTACAATATGGAGGGTCATCTGAATTGTGATCTCATCATCCTTCTGGCAAGACAATGATTGAATGAGTGATGGTGAAAGTGTTTCTATTTTTTTGACTCTCCCTTCCACTGTGGGAGATAGCATTAAAATCCCCAACCACAAGTGCTCTCACACTTGGTTCAAAACTCCCCATGCATTCACTCAACATTTCCCAAAATCTCTCTCTCTCTCCTCTATACTTCTCTCTTTCCCAGGTGCATATACGCTTACTATAACCCACTTCACATCCAACCTTTATTTTACTCCACATAATCCTTGAATTAATACATTTATAGTCCCTCTTTTTCTGCCATAGCTTATCCTTCAACATTACTGCTACTCTTTCTTTAGCTCTAACTATTTGAAACCCCTGACCTAATCCCATTTATTCCTCTCCACTGAAACTCACCCACCCCCTTCAGCTTTGTTTCACTTAAAGCCAGGACATCCAGCTTCTTCTCATTCATAACATCCACAATCATCTCTTCCTTATCATTTGCACAAAATCCACACACATTCAGACTTCCTACTTTGACAATTTTCTTCTTCTTATTCTTTTTAGTAATTATTACAGTAAAAGGGGTTACTAGCCCACTGTTCCCGGCATTTTAGTTGACTTTTACAATGCACATGGCTTACGGAGGAAAGATTCTTATTCCACTTCCCCATGGATATAAAACTAAAAGTAATAAGAACAAGAACTAAGATAAAATCAAAGAAAACTCAGATGAGTGTATATAAATAAATGTGTACATGTATGTTTGGTGTGACCTAAGTGTAAGTAGAAGTAGCAAGACGTACCTGTAATCTTGCAAACAAATGAGATACAATTCGCCAGATCAAGAGCAAGAGCCCCTCACCAGCATCAAGGAACCTCCCTTGAGGCCTGCTTGCTAAAGGAAATTTTGCTCGTGTATGGAAACGAAAAATCAACAGAGCGACTGCTTGTATTTGGAAAAACTTGCACGTCGATGTGCTCGTAGGAGGTGGTTCCACTGTACTTGTTTACAGATGACTTCAACTAATGACAGCCTCTCTGACCAGTATGCCTACCTGAATAATGTATATTAGAGCTGATTTCCTCTATTCTGATTATAATACAGTGGGCCCTCGACCAACGATATTAATCCGTTCCTGAGAGCTCATCGTTAGTTGAAATTATTGTTAGTCGAGTTATTTCCCCATAAGAAATAATGGAAATCAAATTAATCTGTTCCTGACACCCCAAAGTATTGAAAAAAAAAAAATTTTTACCACATGAAATATTAATTTTAATACACACAAACTGAAGAAGACATGTACAGTTACATGACACTTACCTTTATTGAAGATCTGGTGATGACTGATGAGATGGGAGGAGGGGAATGTGGATGGTGATAGTGTTTAGAAGGGGAATCCCCTTCCATTAGGACTTGAGGTGTCAAGTCCTTTTCCGGGGTTACTTCCCTTCTTCTTTTAATGCCACTAGGACCAGCTTGAGAGTCACTGGACCTCTGTCGCACAACATATCTGTCCATAGAGCTCTGTACCTCCCATTCCTTTACGATTTGTCTAAAATGGGCCACAACATTGTCATTGTAATAGTCACCAGCACGGCTTGCAATAGCTGTGTTAGGGTGATTTTCATCCATAAAGGTTTGCAGTTCAACCCACTTTGCACACATTTCCTTAATCTTTGAAGTAGGCACAATGGATTCCACAACTGGCATAGGCATCTCAGGGTTAGCCCCAAACCCTTCAAAACCTTTCTTAATTTCCATACTAATTCTCACCCTTTTTATCACAGGGATGGCACTAGAAGCTTTCTTGGGGCCCATGGTGACTTATTTTGCAGGTGCAATCACTAAAAACGCTGTGATAATATGAAATGTTCCTATTGTATGTTTGGATGCGACCTAGGTGGCTGGCTTGTAAACACTGTGCAGGCCACACGTGGACGCGTCTCGAACAGAACGAATCGCATTGGTCGAGTTTTTTAGTGCTAGTCGAGGCAAAAATTTTGCGTTAAAAGTATCGCTAGTCGGATTTAACATACGATGCCATCATTGGTCAAGGGTCCACTGTATATAGTGCATTACTGTATATACGTACATTTAAAAATATACCAGAAATGTTATAAATGGTGTGAAAGTGACATTAAAACACTATCAAAGATGACTTAAGAAATCGTAATGACACGATTGCAAATAAACCATACCCCCGGCCGGGATTGAACCCGCGGTCATAGAGTCTCAAAACTCCAGCCCGTCGCGCTAACCACTAGACCAGCTAGCCACAATAAGATTCATCCAACTAGGTATATTTCTACACCATAGGAAAGTTAGCACAGGCACCTCTGTGACCACAAATGCAAGTTTTTACAGACGAATCTCCAGCTAGCGTGGCCGTGACGAACTCTAGCTCAAGTTCGTCACGGCCACGCTAGCTGGAGATTCGTCTGTAAAAACTTGCATTTGTGGTCACAGAGGTGCCTGTGCTAACTTTCCTATGGTGTAGAAATATACCTAGTTGGATGAATCTTATTGTGGCTAGCTGGTCTAGTGGTTAGCGCGACGGGCTGGAGTTTTGAGACTCTATGACCGCGGGTTCAATCCCGGCCGGGGGTATGGACTATCAAAGATGGTTGACACAAGCCCAGTACCATTATAGTACTCTTCTCACTTAGCGACGAATTCGTTTACAGACTACGTCTGTAAACGAATTCGAAGGTTTTGTCTATATTGAGAGTGCGTTTGTTGGTCGTCATCCAGTTTGATATTTCACGTAGCTCGATGTTTACAGTGTTACTAAGTATAGCCGGGTTTGGGTGGGAGAAGACATAAGTGGTGTCATCTGCGAATAGAACTGTTTTAAGGAGTTGCGATGCGTTTGGGAGGTCATTGTTGTAAATAAGAAAGAGTAGAGGACCTAGGACACTTCCCTGTCGCACTCCAACAACTACAGGCTGAGTATTGGAAGTCACACCATTTGTGTGCACATACTGGTGTCTTCCACTAAGATAAGATTTTAGGTAGTTGAGCTAGTGTCTTCTGACCCAGTAATGCTTTAGTTTTAGTTGCAAGATATTGTGGTTGACTGTATGAAATGCTTTCTGTAGGTCTATGGAGAGCCCCAGAGGATATTCATCTCTGTTAATTGCTGTATATAGTAATTCGAGCATCTGAATAATTGCATCATTCATGCTTTTTTTTTTTTTTTGCCTAAACCCAAACTGGCAGGGGTTCAATATGTTATGGGATAGGAGGTAGGAGTAGATTTATTTATGTATTATATTTTTGAAGATTTTTGAGAGCAAAGGCAAGTTAGATATTGGTCTGTTATTTAGTTATGTAGGATTGCCTCCTTTGTGGATCAGGGTGACCCTTGCTGTCTTAAGTATGGATGAGAATTTAGAAAATTCAACAGATTTGTTAAATAGTGTTGCAATAATGGGGGACAGCACATGATTAGCTTTTTTGTCTTTGCTTTGAATTTTTACCAATAAAACTTCAACATTATGTATATGTTTTGTATTTTAATAACAGACTGCAGCATACAGTTATTTCCTGCATCAAAGACTGGGTGTGATCAACTCCACAGTATTTGAACTTAGGCCTCAAGTTAATCTGATGGACTTGACCGAGGCTGAAACGTCAACTCTTCAGGACCCCTTAAGCGTTATAGTGAGAGAAGCACAAGCACTTTCTGCACATGTGAGTACCTACCACAGAAACAATAATATACATGTATTTTAAAGTGAAAAAATTAATCCCAAATGGACAGAAATTAAAACACAAAATGGAAAGAATCTGTAAATTTTGCTTTCTTGTCAAAGATCCTCTTTATACAGTTATATATTTTCTGTCCATGTGGAATTTAGCTTTTCAGTAATAGTTGTTTGAGTCATACATCAAAATATATATTGAAACTAAAATAAAACAATCGATTAGTAATCTTAGGACAGATACACTATTAGTCATTCAGTTGTAGTTCAGATGGCCCTCTGAATTGCAACATCTTCACCCTTCTATTGGAGGGATTAATTCCTGTTCTCTGGTCTCTGGTTTTATCAATTGTAGTTTTGAATCCATGTATATTGTGTGCTTCCACTTCACCTAGCTCATAATAAATTTATACTACTCCAACACTGAAAAATTACTTTCTCATATCCTTGTGGTTTGTGTGTGTTTTCAGCCTCCATTGGTGCCTCATGTAATCCTCCTCATGTCATATAGTCTGTTCTTGTGTACCCTGTAAAAACCCCAGAGTGTTCTGTTCATTAACTAAACATGGTTCATGTATTGGTGTTATCTGCCTTTCCACTTTGTATACTCTCTGACTATGGGTATATGAGAAGAATATATAGTAGGGTGTACGGTGATGAGGGTGTCAAACGAGTTAGGTAAGGAAAAATTGGATATCAGATTGGAGTGAGGCAGTTTGGAGGAAATGAATGTGTTCACACATTTAGGAGAAGACTTGTCAGCAGATGGGTACATAAAAGATGAGGTAACCCATAGAATTGATAGAGGGAAAAAGGTGGGTGGTGCATTGAGGTATCTGTGGAGACAAAGAACATTACCCATGGAAGCAAAGAAAGGAATATATGAGAGTATAGTGGTACCAACACTCCTATATGGGTGTGAAGCATGAGTTGTAAATGTTGCAGCGAGAAGGAGGCTGGAGGCAGTGGAGATGTCGTGTCTAAGGGCAATGTGTGGTTTTACCTGGACAGGATTTCAGGGGTCAATGCCCCTGCGGCCCGGTCTGAGACCAGGTCTCATGGTGGATCAGGGCCTGATCAGCCAGGCTGGTGTAAATATTATGCAGAAAATTCATAGTTTGGAGATTAGGAGGATGTGGAGTTACTAAAAGTATTATCCAGAGAGCTGAGGAGGGGTTGAGGTGGCTTGGTCATTTAGAGAGGATGGAGCAAAATAGGATGACTTGGAGGGTGTATAAATCTGTAGTGGAGGGAAGGAAGGGTAGGAGTCATCCTAGGAAAGGATGGAGGGAAGGGGTAAAGGAGGTTTTTGTGTGCAAGGGGGTTGGACATACAGCAGGCTTCTATGAGCATATTTGATAGGAGTGAATGGAGACAAACAGTTTTTGGGACCTGATGAGTTGTTGGAGTGTGAGTAACATTTATGAAGGGATTCAGGGAAACTGGTTAGCTGGACTTGTGTCCTGGAGGTGAGAATTACAGTGCCTGCACTCTAAAGGAGGGGGTTGGAATATTTTGCTGTTAGAGTGGCATGGGGGTCGTCCCACAGTTACTAAAAACAACAAACATAGCCCCACTCCACAAAGGAGACAGTAAAGCATTAGCAAAGAACTACAGACCGATAGCACTAACATCCCATATCATAAAAATCTTTGAAAGGGTCCTAAGAAGCAAGATCGCCACCCATCTAGAAACCCATCAATTACACAACCCAGGGCAACTTGGGTTTAGAACAGGTCGCTCCTGTCTGTCTCAGCTATTGGATCACTACGACAAGGTCCTAGATGCACTAGAAGACAAAAAGAATGCAGATGTAATATACACAGACTTTGCAAAAGCCTTCGACAAGTGTGACCATGGCGTAATAGCGCACAAAATGCGTGCTAAAGGAATAACAGGAAAAGTTGGTCGATGGATCTATAATTTCCTCACAAACAGAACACAAAGAGAAGTAGTCAACAGAGTAAAGTCCGAGGCAGCTACGGTGAAAAGCTCTGTTCCACAAGGCACAGTACTCGCTCCCATCTTGTTCCTCATCCTTATATCTGACATAGACAAGGATGTCAGCCACAGCACCATGTCTTCCTTTGCAGATGACACCCGAATCTGCATGACAGTGTCTTCCATTGCAGACACTGCAAGGCTCCAGGCGGACATCAACCAAATCTTTCAGTGGGCTGCAGAAAACAATATGAAGTTCAACGATGAGAAATTTCAATTACTCAGATATGGTAAACACGAGGAAATTAAATCTTCATCAGAGTACAAAACAAATTCTGGCCACAAAATAGAGCGAAACACCAACGTCAAAGACCTGGGAGTGATCATGTCGGAGGATCTCACCTTCAAGGATCATAACATTTTATCAATCGCAGCTGCTAGAAAAATGACAGGATGGATAATGAGAACCTTCAGAACTAGGGATGCCAAACCCATGATGACACTCTTCAGGTCACTTGTTATATCTAGGCTGGAATATTGCTGCACACTAACAGTACCTTTCAAGGCAAGTGAAATTGCTCAACTAGAAAATGTACAGAGAACCTTCACGGCGCGCATAACGGAGATAAAACACCTCAATTACTGGGAGCGCTTGAGGTTCCTGAACCTGTATTCCCTGGATCCCAGGCGGGAGAGATACATGATTATATACACCTGGAAAATCCTAGAGGGACTAGTTCCGAACTTGCACACGAAAATCACTCACTACGAAAGCAAAAGACTTGGCAGACGATGCAACATCCCCCCAATGAAAAGCAGGGGTGTCACTAGCACGTTAAGAGACCATACAATAAGTGTCAGGGGCCTGAGACTGTTCAACTGCCTCCCAGCATACATAAGGGGGATTACCAACAGACCCCTGGCAGTCTTCAAGCTGGCACTGGACAAGCACCTAAAGTAGGTACCTGACCAGCCGGGCTGTGGCTCATACGTTGGTTTGCATGCAGCCAGCAGAAACAGCCTGGTTGATCAGGCTCTGATCCACCAGGAGGCCTGGTCACAGACCGGGCCGCGGGGGCGTTGACCCCCGGAACTCTCTCCAGGTAAACTCCAGGTAAACATCTAAACTGTCGTATCTGTGTAACTCTGGCAAGACAACGATGGTGTAAATGGTGAAAGTGTTTTTTTTAAATCTGGGGTAACCCTGCCTCAGTTGGAGACAGCTGGCGTGTTTCAAAAAGAAAAACATAGATGGACTGGAGGGCAGGAGGGGATAAAGGAGGTTTTGTGTGTGAGGGGTGTTTACATCCAACAGGCATGTGTGAGCATGTCAGATAGGACTGATTGGAGGCAAGTGGTTATTTATGACTTGATGTGCTGTTGGAGCCTGAGCAAGGTAACATTTATGAGAGGATTCAGGGTAAACCAGTTAGCTTGACTTGAGTCCTGGAGGTGGGAAGTACCATGCCTATACTCTGAAGGAGGGGTGGGGATATTTCAGTTTGGAGGGGCAGCTGAGCTGTGATTTCAGCACATTTCTTGCAGGACAGTGATAGTGAGTGATGGTGAAAGTGTTTCTTCTTTTTCCAGTCACTCTTCCTTGGTGGGAGATGGCTGGTGTACCCCCAAAACAGATACACTAGGTAGAAAAGTTCTTATTCATTTAACTGTTTTCTGTTTCAGAGTGGAATTGTGTTTGATAGAGCTGGAAGTGCTGCTGAAGATAGTTTTAATGTTCATGTAGAAGCATTAAAGGTTCAAGAAGATGTGGATGCAGCCTTCAATTTAGCACGCAGAATTATTGCTGAAATAAATAAGCTTGTAATTGGTCTGGAGACTGGCACAGGTGATCATCCTGTTTTTCTGTGTTTTGTGAATGGATAATTTTGTGTAGGTTATTATTGTAGAGTATTTGTTTTAAGTGGCAGTTAATGCATCTGCCTCAGCAGTGAGGTAGATGCAGTGCACTACATACGTAAGAATATTTACATGAAATTTGCCAAATAATATTTGCCAAGCATCTTAATGACCATTACTCCAGAAAAGGAGTAGATTGATATGGTGAAATTTTTTTTTATAGAGGCTTGATAATTATTCTGGTGACATGTACCTTAATGTTCGTTAACATGCAAAGGAATTTACATTTAAGTTTCTTTCTTTTTAAATACATGTAAGGCCTGTATGACTTAATATTGTATATAACTGCCTGGCTCTTCCTACTGTTCTTCAACAAGGACAATTATTATATCTACTTTGATACTGTCAGGGACTGTTATGAAGCATTTGTTACATCTAAACTGTCATATCTGCCAACCTCTGGCAAGACAGTGATAGTGTAAATGATGGTGAAAGTGTTTTTTTTTTTCAGGTCACCCTGCCTAGGTGGGAGACAGCCAGTGTGTTAAATGAATAACCCAAGCATTTCTGCTAAAAATGATTATATATACAGTATGTTAGAGTCTCACAAAGAGTGATGGTTACCAGTACATTCTTGAAAATTGCCCTATATTAGAAAAACTCACTATTGTATACAAATTTAATAGTCAAAAAAGTAGGTTACACTCAAGACATGTTGCAAGTTAACCTCTCTCCCCCACTTTTTTAAACTACTGGTCTCTCACCACAGACACAAAAATTATGGGTAATAGATGGTCACCAACCTAAGTAGGGTGTTAGCTAGTGGCTACACATCACTAGTTATGGCTTTATACAGCTTCAGCCATTGTTGCCTTTAAAAATATTATAGCTTTGATATTTTATTCAGTAGTCAAATTTTGTTATGACTTGCAATATCATATGTAGACTTCTTGTATGCCATTGTGTATGTACAATAACAAGTAATGCCCAGAAAAGTGAGTTTATGTAAAAAAAAAAAATTTATTAGAGTTCTATAGTATAAGTGCTTATTCTTGGTGTCATCCGACTGTAGGATACATCAGTTACTCGTACAATCTTGCACTCATCTGCTGCATAGTGTTATATTGCCATCTGAAGGATAAACCTTATTTATCCTCACCCTTCAAGGGATAGAAATTCTCTGAATGATAAATACATAGATGATAGCTTATTTAATGTCTAAATGTATTTTAAACAGAGACTTGTGTAAGCTACATACTTTCTGGTCACTTGACTTAGTCAGATACAAATACAAATAATTTCTTTCTTTTCTGCAGTATATGGGTGATGTAGCTTACATGTAATAAAATATTGTTGGCCACAAAAGAAAACCACTAGAATGCCATGCATTTCGGGCAGACTAATCCTAATACAGTGGACCCCCGCATAACGATCACCTCCGAATGCGACCAATTATGTAAGTGTATTTATGTAAGTGCGTTTGTACGTGTATGTTTGGGGGTCTGAAATGGACTAATCTACTTCACAATATTCCTTATGGGAACAAATTCGGTCAGTACTGGCACCTGAACATACTTCTGGAGTGAAAAAATATCGTTAACCGGGGGTCCACTGTACTTAGACTACCTAAGAACTAGACATGGAGTTTTTAAATGTCACTTAGTCATGCATACTCTCTTGTTAAGTTAGCAGAAGGCCTTGGTCAAATGACCAAAAGCTTCAGCTGTAGACCATCATATGACTAAGGCCCGCATCATGAAACACTTTTCCTGTTATCTGGCAAACCTTACTTAACCTCTTGTTAAGTTGACTGGACACAGGGTAAATATGATAATAGTCTTATCTATCAAGGCACAGGGATTCTCTGAATAATAAAGGAGTATGGGCACACCACCTACCCTTGACAGCTGTGCCAACATGTGTGGTTCATCAGTCTTCAGTTGATTACCAGTAAATATCAGAAAAAATATTGCTGAAATAAAGGCAGAATTTTTCAAGAGAAAACTTGAGCACTGCAAGTGTCTCATCATCCAGGTTGTGATGGCTATATAGGCCTGCTGGCTGCTAGCACCAGCAACTTGATTGATCAGGTGCTCACCAGGAAAGTGCGGCCTTAGATCAAGATGTGAGCACAGAATTTGAAAGCATTCACAAGTATGGGACATTTTCTAAATTATTTTTTTTTGAAAAGTTTTGTATATTACATCAGTGGACATTGAAATACTTTAGATAAAAAGTAATGTTATATGTGAATGTGTTCCCAGGGGCCCAGTTGGAGCAAGCTATCCGCGAGGCAGAAATTCTCGTAGAAGAAATGGAAAAACGTAATTTTGAGGTTTATCAGGATAAGGTGGAAGTTGAGCTGGAGAAAGCAAAGGAAATGCTTGAGAACATTGCCACCTTCAATTATCCTGTTAAGGTAGGATTTGTATGCATTTTTATTTATATATGCTTATCTTGCACATGTGCATACGTGCATGTGTGTGTGTGTATACTCGCCTAATTGTGGTTGCAGGGGTGTGTGTGTGTATGCATGTGTGTATGTGTGTGTGTGTATGCGTGCATGTGTGTGTGTATTTGTGTGCACACGTGTGTGTGTACTCGCCTATTTGTAATCATCTATTTGTGGTTGCAGGGGTCAAGTCATAGCTCCTGGCCTTGCCTCTTCACTGATTGCTACTAGGTCCTCTCTCTCCCTGCTCCATGAGCTTTATCAAACCTTGCATTAAAACGATGTATGGTTTCTGCCTCCACTACGTCACTTTCTAGGCTATTCCACTGCCTGACAGCTCTATGACTGAAGAAATACTTCCTAACATCCCTTTGACTCACCTGAGTCTTCAGCTTCCAATTGTGACCCCTTGTTTCTGTGTCCCATCTCTGGAACATCCTGTCTTTGTCCACCTTGTCTATTCCATGGGGAAGTGGAATAAGAATCTTTCCTCCGTAAGCCATGCGTGTTGTAAAAGTCAACTAAAATGCCGGGAACAATGGGCTAGTAACCCCTTTTCCTGTAAAGATTACTAAAAAGAATAAGAAGAAGAAAATTGTCAAAGTGGGATGTCTGAATGTGTGTGGATGTTGTGCAAATGATAAGAAAGAGATGATTGTGGATGTTATGAAAGAGAAGAAGCTGGATGTCCTGGCTTTAAGTGAAACAAAGCTGAAGGGGGTGGGAGAGTTTCAATGGAGAGGAATAAATGGGATTAGGTCAGGGGTTTCAAATAGAGTTAGAGCTAAAGAAGGAGTAGCAATAATGTTGAAGGATAAGCTATGGCAGAAAAAGAGGGACTTTAAATGTATTAGTTCAAGGATTATGTGGAGTAAAATAAAGATTGGATGTGAAAAGTGGGTTATAATAAGCGTGTATGCACCTGGAGAAGAGAGAAGTGTAGAGGAGAGAGAGAGATTTTGGGAAATGTTGAGTGAATGCGTGGGGAGTTTTAAATCAAGTGTGAGAGTAATGGTGGTTGGGGATTTCAATGCTAAAGTGGGTAAAAATGTTATGGAGGGAGTAGTAGGTAAGTTTGGGGTGCCAGGGGTAAATGTAAATGGGGAGCCTTTAATTGAGCTATGTGTAGAAAGAGATTTGGTAATAAGTAATACATTTTTTTTTTTTTTTCAACAAGTTGGCCGTCTCCCACCGAGGCAGGGTGACCCAAAAAAGAAAGAAAATCCCCAAAAAGAAAATACTTTCATCATCAATCAACACCTTCACCACACTCACACATTATCACTGTTTTTGCAGAGGTGCTCAGAATACAATAGTTTAGAAGCATATACGTATAAAGATACACAACATATCCCTCCAAACTGCCAATATCCCAAAACCCCTCCTTTAAAGTGCAGGCATTGTACTTCCCATTTCCAGGACTCAAGTCCGACTATATGAAAATAACCGGTTTCCCTGAATCCCTTCACTAAATATTACCCTGCTCACACTCCAGCAGATCATCAGGTCCCAAGTATCATTCGTCTCCATTCACTCCTATCTAACACGCTCATGCACGCTTGCTGGAAGTCCAAGCCCCTCGCCCACAAAACCTCCTTTACCAACAACAAGTAAGAGGGAGGTGAAAGTGTATAAACTAAGGGAAGAGGAAGTTCGGGTGAGATATAAGCGACTATTGGCAGAAAGGTGGGCTAGTGCAAAGATGAGTAGTGGGGGGGTTGAAGAGGGTTGGAATAGTTTTAAAAATGCAGTATTAGAATGTGGGGCAGAAGTTTGTGGTTATAGGAGGGTGGGGGAAAGAGGAGTGATTGGTGGAATGATGAAGTAAAGGGTGTGATAAAAGAGAAAAAGGTAGCTTATGAGAGTTTTTTACAAAGCAGAAGTGTTATAAGAAGAGCAGAGGATATGGAGAGTAAAAGAAAGGTAAAGAGAGTGGTGAGAGCGTGCAAAAGGAGAGCAGATGATAGTGGGAGAGGCACTGTCAAGAAATTTTAATGAAAATAAGAAAAAATTTTGGAGTGAGTTAAACAAGTTAAGAAAGCCTAGGGAAAGTATGGATTTGTCAGTTAAAAACAGAGTAGGGGAGTTAGTAGATGGGGAGATGGAGGTATTAGGTAGATGGCGAGAATATTTTGAGGAACTTTTAAATGTTAAGGAAGAAAGAGAGGCAGTAATTTCATTCCCTGGTCAGGGAGGTATACCATCTTTTAGGAGTGAAGAAGAGCAGAATGTAAGTGTGGGGGAGGTACGTGAGGCATTACGTAGAATGAAAGGGGGTAAAGCAGCTGAACTGATGGGATCATGACAGAAATGTTAAAAGCAGGGGGGATATAGCGTTGGAGTGGTTGGTACTTTTGTTTAATAAATGTATGAAAGAGGGGAAGGTACCTAGGGATTGGCAGAGAGCATGTATAGTCCCTTTATATAAAGGGAAAGGGGACAAAAGAGACTGTAAAAATTATAGAGGAATAAGTTTACTGAGTATACCAGGAAAAGTGTACGGTAGGGTTATAATTGAAAGAATTAGAGGTAAGACAGAATGTAGGATTGCGGATGAGCAAGGAGGTTTCAGAGTGGGTAGGGGATGTGTAGATCAAGTGTTTACATTGAAGCATATATGTGAACAGTATTTAGATAAAGGTAGGGAAGTTTTTATTGCATTTATGGATTTAGAAAAGGCATATGATAGTGGATAGAGGAGCAATGTGGCAGATGTTGCAAGTAAATGGAATAGGTGGTAAGTTATTAAATGCTGTAAAGAGTTTTTATGAGGATAGTGAGGCTCAGGTTAGGGTGTGTAGAAGAGAGGGAGACTACTTCCCGGTAAAAGTAGGTCTTAGACAGGGATGTGTAATGTCACCATGGTTGTTTAATATATTTATAGATGGGGTTGTAAAGGAAGTAAATGCTAGGGTGTTCGGGAGAGGGGTGGGATTAAATTTTGGGGAATCAAATTCAAAATGGGAATTGACACAGTTACTTTTTGCTGATGATACTGTGCTTATGGGAGATTCTAAAGAAAAATTGCAAAGGTTAGTGGATGAGTTTGGGAATGTGTGTAAAGGTAGAAAGTTGAAAGTGAACATAGAAAAGAGTAAGGTGATGAGGGTATTAAATGATTTAGATAAAGAAAAATTGGATATCAAATTGGGGAGGAGTATGGAAGAAGTGAATGTTTTCAGATACTTGGGAGTTGACGTGTCGGCGGATGGATTTATGAAGGATGAGGTTAATCATAGAATTGATGAAGGAAAAAAGGTGAGTGGTGCGTTGAGGTATATGTGGAGTCAAAAAACGTTATCTATGGAGGCAAAGAAGGGAATGTATGAAAGTATAGTAGTACCAACACTCTTATATGGTGTGAAGCTTGGGTGGCAAATGCAGCAGCGAGGAGACGGTTTGGAGGCAGTGGAGATGTCCTGTTTAAGGGCAATGTGTGGTGTAAATATTATGCAGAAAATTCGAAGTGTGGAAATTAGGAAAAGGTGTGGAGTTAATAAAAGTATTAGTCAGATGGCAGAAGAGGGGCTGTTGAGGTGGTTTGGTCATTTAGAGAGAATGGATCAAAGTAGAATGACATGGAAAGCATATAAATCTATAGGGGAAGGAAGGCGGGGTAGGGGTTGTCCTTGAAAGGGATGGAGAGAGGGGGTAAAGGAGGTTTTGTGGGCAAGGGGCTTGGACTTCCAGCAAGCGTGCGTGAGCGTGTTAGATAGGAGTGAATGGAGACGAATGGTACTTGGGACCTGACGATCTGTTGGAGTGTGAGCAGGGTAATATTTAGTGAAGGGATTCAGGGAAACCGGTTATTTTCATATAGTCGGACTTGAGTCCTGGAAATGGGAAGTACAATGCCTGCACTTTAAAGGAGGGGTTTGGGATATTGGCAGTTTGGAGGGATATGTTGTGTATCTTTATACGTATATGCTTCTAATCTGTTGTAGTCTGAGCACCTCTGCAAAAACAGTGATAATGTGTGAGTGTGGTGAAAGTGTTGAATGATGAAAGTATTTTCTTTTTGGGGATTTTCTTTCTTTTTTGGGTCACCCTGCCTCGGTGGGAGACGGCCGACTTGTTGAAAAAAAAAAAAATTGATATGTTGTTATGTCTCCCCTGACCCTCCTGTCTTCCAGTATCGTCAAGATAATTTCCCTTAACCTTTCTTCGTAGGACAATCCCCTTAGCTCTGGGACTAGTCTTGTTGCAAACCTTTGCACTTTCTCTAATTTCTTGACGTGCTTGACCAGATGTGGATTCCAAACTGGTGCTGCATTCCCCAGTGTGGGCCTGACGTATATGGTGTACAGAGTCTTGAACGATTCCTTACTGAGGTATCGGAATGCTTTCCTTAGGTTTTTCCAGATGCCGATATGCTGCAGCAGTTATCTGATTGATGTGTGCCTCAGGATATGTGCTCAGTATTATACTCACCCCAAGATCTTTTTCCTTGAGTGAGGTTTGCAGTCTTTGGCATCCTAGACTATACTGTGTCTGTGGTCTTCTTTGCCCTTCCCTGATCTTCATGACTTTGCATTTGGCAGGGTTAAATTCAAGGAGCCAGTTGCTGGACCAGGCTTGTAGCCTGTCCAGATCTCTTTGTAGTCCTGCCTGATCCTCGTCCGATTCGATTCTTCTCATTAACTTCACATCGTCTGCAAACAAGGACACTTCTGAGTCTATCCCTTCCGTTATGTCGTTCACGTATACCAAGAACAGCACAGGTCCTAGGACTGACCCCTGTGGAACCCCGCTTGTCACAGGCGCCCACTCTGACACCTCGTCGTGTGTGTGTGTGTGTGTGTGTGTGTGTGTGTGTGTGTGTGTGTGTGTGTGTGTGTATTGTGTGTTGTGTGTGTTGTGTGTTGTGTGTCATACTCAACTTAAGAAAATGACAAGATTTGAAGCCCTGGTAGGCTAGTGCTAGAATTAGCAAGCCAGTGTTGTAAAACATTACATTATAGAGAACTTCCTTGTACCTAGTTACCTCCAGTATTGGTATTGGTAAAGCTGTGTCTTGAACCAGGGCCTTAATCTGTTACTCTATATTGAATTCCTTCACAATTTAAGACTTTAAAACAAGGTTTCCTTGTACATTAAAAATTCGATAAAGTAGCCTAATGGGGGGAGGGGCTTTACATTCTCTCTCTCTCTCTCTTCCTTACCCCCTCTTTTTTTCCCCTTTCTCCTCTCCTTATACAGGCATACTGTACCTGTACTAGATGTGGGCAGCTGAGACAGACCTTATGTGTACCAGACACTGGAGACTTACATTGACAAGAATGTAAATACTAAGTGTACAATTCTTTAACAAACTGGCTGGCTGGCTAACTGGCTGGTTGGGTAATTGGCTGGCTGGTAACTGGTTGGCTGGTTAACTGGCTGGCTGGCTAACTGGTTAGTTGGCTGGCTAACTAGCTGGCAGGCTAATTGGCTGGCTGGCTGAGAAACTGGCTGGCTAACTACCTTCCTGTCTTGCCCTGTCTATGCTTCTTGTAAACAACTATTTTCTCTCTTACAACATAATTTCAAGTTGGACAGGAGAGTCTAGTTTCTACCGCTACAGTGAAAACGAGTAAGTCCTAGATAAAGCCTAGACTGTGCAAACCTGTATTGATAAAGCCACTGGATGGCGAAACGTCTACAATAAAGATATCCAGATGTTGCACATGTCTCTTAACTTTCATATTGTTGGTATTTTATACCTTTCTTGCACAACTTGTCAGACACTGCAGAGTTGATCCATTTTATTGAGGATTTGACTAGGCTGGACAGCCATTTGATGTAGTGGATTTGGTCTGTTTAACCCTTTCACCATCGGTCCCGTAATATTACGGCTTGCAAGCCAGTGTCGGTCCTGTAATATTGCGCCAAAATTCTAGTGGCTTCCAGTCTTGCAGGAGAAAGCTGGTATACCTACATATGAGAGAATGGACCAGAGTGGTCATTGTGTACAGTATAAAAATAATCCTGCAGCACGCAGTGCATAATGAGAAAAAAAAAAAACTGACCGTGTTTTGGGCTTAAAACACCAATGTTGTGGTGTATTTTTGTATGGAATTTATGGTTGTATTCTGATTTTCTTGGTCTCAGTTGATAGAATGGAAGATGTATTATAGAAATTGAGATGATTTTGAATGGTTTGCAAACTAAAAGTACCTTGAAATTGAGCTCAAAGTAGCGGAAAATGTTCGATTTTTGCCAATGTTCAAGAGTAAACAAATCACGTCACGCGTCCAATACACGTCAACTGGTGGATCTGATATGCTTTCACAAATGTGCTGATATTATTTATATCATTTTTACAATAATGCAGTTGTCTGCATAACAATAAATCTTCTATTTTTTGCATGAATAAAAATTTAAAATGGAAAGCAAGCATAATATAAGAGGGGCCTGGAAACGTGACTAATGAACAGAGAAAATGTTATTTTAGTGCTAGGAATATTTGTCTTGTTAATTCTGGACACTTTTGAAATTGGCCTTATTGAATTGTGTATGAAACTGGCCAAATTACCAATTTCTGATCACCTTTATTGTGTAGTTGAAATTGGTAAATGGGCAGTTTCTTGTACTCATTTAATAGAATAAATGGAGTTCTAGCAAAATAGCTATGAGTTTGGGCAACTGGAACAATGGAATTGGCCAAACATAGGGCTCAAAGTGGGTGTTGCCGATGCATAAATATCACTGAGACCACTATCTTCGCAAGAGCGTAAGTCCATAAGTTTTCTGTCAAATTTCGTACTTTTGGTGTCATTACCATTGGGAGAAGATTCTCTGTTATTTCATAATAAAATATATACAGTGGACCCCCGCATAGCGAACTTAATCCGTGCAAGAGGGCTGGTCGTTATGCGAAATGTTCGCTATGCGAATTAATTTTCCCCATAAGAAATAATGGAAATAAAATTAATCCGTGCAAGACACCCAAAAGTATGAAAAAAAAATTTTTTTACCACAAAAAAATGTTAATTTTAGTACACACAAACTGAAAAAGGCATGCACAATTACATGACACTTACTTTTATTGAAGATCTGGTGATGATTGATGGGATGGGAGGAGGGGAGAGAGAGTGTTAGTGTTTAGAAGGGGAATCCCCTTCCATTAACACTTGAGGAGGCAAGTCCTTTTCCGGGTTACTTCCCTTCTTCTTTTAATGCCACTAGGACCAGCTTCAGAGTCACTGGACTTCTTTCTGTCCATAGAGCTCTGTACCTCCCGTTCCTTTACGATTTGTCTAAAATGGGCCATAACATTGTCATTGAAATAGTCACCAGCACGCCTTGCAACAGCTGTGTCAGGGTGATTTTCATCCATAAAGGTTTGCAGTTCAACCCACTGTGCACACATTTCCTTAATTTTTGAAGTAGGCACAATGGATTCCACAACTGGCATAGGCTTCTCAGGGTTAGCCCCAAACCCTTCAAAATCTTTCTTAATTTCCATACTAATTCTCACCCTTTTTACCACAGGGTTGGCACTAGAAGCTTTCTTGGGGCCCATGGTCACTTATTTCAACAAACAGAACCGAAAACACTGTAATAATACGAAATATTCCGAGTGTATGCTTGAATGTTACCCGCGAGGCTAGCTGTAAACAATGGGACAGGCGGCACATGTGAGCTGGCTGAGGCCGCACATTGGACGCGCTCGGACAGAAGTTCGCTGAGCGGGATTTTGTCTACTATGCGGGGCAAAATTTTAGCGATCAAAGCGTTCGCTATGCGGAATGTTCGCTATGCAAGGCGTTCGCTATGCGGGGGTCCACTATATATATATATATATATATATATATATATAAATTTTTTTATTGTTTTTAAATTCTTCGACACTGAGAGCAAGTTTGTGAGTGAAAGGGTTAATGGCTAGTTTAATTAGACATCCTGTTAGATGTAAACATTGAGCCTTTGTATAGCCACATTTTTTGCCAGTTTAATTCAACATCCACTTTATAGGGATCATTGTTATCAGTCTTTTACTGTATTTTAATATTTGGAGATTGTTTATACTGATAATAAATAATGAATATACCATACAGTATACAAAGGAACATTTTTGTGAATTAAATCTAACGTCAAAAGCTTATATACATATAACTAACTATTTTCAGAGCCAGAAAGAATTAATGGATTCTTATGAAAAACGTATGAACAGCTTTGAAGATAAGATTAAGGAAATGAAAGACTACATACAAAAGGCTGTTCAACAGACAAGAGACACAGAGCAAATGATTCGCAACAACAAATTATTTGGGTAAATTGTATTGTATGTTTCTTGTACTTGTTTATAACAGCCTATTGATAATGTGTTTGATAGCTTTATACAATCTCTCCTCACTTTACAACTTACTCATTTAACAACCAGCTCTCTGACTAGTGTGTATACCTAAGTAATGTATATTAGAGCTGATTTCTTCTATTCTGTTTATTACAATATACAGTACACTACTGTATGAACACTTAAAAATATACTAAAAATGTTTTAAATAGTGTAAAGGTGACATTAAAACAATATCTAAAGATGGTTGTCACAACCCAAGTACCAGCATAGTACACTCCTTGCTTAATGACCAATTTGTTTACTGACCTGTTCTTAGGAATGGAACTGCATCGTTAAGTGAGGAGAGACTGTACTTGCATCTTTGTTTTATGCTGCAGGTGACTTCCAGGTGCATAACAGTTGTACTAAATTGAATCATGCAACAGTCACTTCATTCTGTATAATAAGAATCTTCAGTATGCTTTGTGAGTCACACCAGTTACATACTGCACTGTGAATTTATATTGTATATGAAGTGGGGAAGGGGAAAAGAATTCTTCCTTCGTAAAACATACATGTTGTAAGAAGTGGTGACTAGCTCCTTGCTGGGAGCAAGGGACTAGTAACCCCTTCTCCTGTACAAATTACTAAATTTAAAAAGAAAAACATTCATTTTCTTTTTTGGTCTCCCTGCCTCAGTAGGATACAGCCAGTTCATTGAAAAAAAAAATTAAATTAATTCTCCATGGGGAAGTGGAGAAGAACCCTTCCTCGGTAAGCCATGAATGTTGTAAGAGGTGCCTAAAATGCCGAGAGCAAGGGGCTATAACCCCTTCTCCTGTATAAATTACTAAATGTAAAATGAAGAAAAACTTTATAAATTATTTTCTTACTTTTCGGGTCACCTTGCCTTGGTGGGAGACAGCTTATGTGTTTAAAAAAAAAATGAAATTAATGATATAAATAGTACATCCTATAAAGTGAACTTGGATAAAGTGAAGGGAAGCTTGTAGTATTTGTATTCTTAGCTATTTAGCTCGTTCACTTTTATTTTAATGTTAAGATATGATTACTCAATATTCTTTGTATATCCATAATATTCTATGCAATGAATATTACATTTTTGGTACTCTCGTTTTATGATCAAGTTACAGGCAGTTTCATAAATATTTTAGGTATAATTCACTAAAGAAGAAACTTGACGAAATACGAAGGTTGGACAAACAGATAAACAACGAATTAGAAGAATCCCGAGAACTTATTGATCAGGCCAACAGGAATCATATCAATGCATCAGCTAATTATGATATGCTTGGTATGTATTCAGTTTGACATTCTTTAGACTTACTTGCTAGCCCTATAAGCACTGTTTCAAGTTAGAAAACCACTTTTTTTCTGTAATATATCCTTTAAATATATTTTTCAGAGATTTATGTCTAGTGTGATATTTTGTGATTTTTTTTTTTATCTTTTCATAAAATTATTGCATGCAGAGATATACTATGATGTGGAACAAGGGCACCTACCTGCTTCTTTTTATTTATAACAGTAATGGAAGTAGAGCATCTTCGTGCCACAAAGTCCAGTCTGAATGAGAGTGTTACTCTGATGATGAGGGAGCTAGAAGAGGCAGAGTTTCCAGCTCAGAGAGCCCAGGCTCATGCTGAACAACTTGGAATAAGAGTAAGACAATTTTTTTTTTTTTTTTTTTGTAATTTACTACTGTGGTGGTTACATGTTCTGGTGAAATAGGTATCTGAGATTTTGTTTTTTCTGTATTTCTTGAATTTATTACTATATTCCTGTATTTCCTTTCATCTCCACGGGGAAGCGGAGAAGAATCCTTCCTCTATACTGTAAGTCATGTGTGCCGTAAGAGGTGACTAAAATGCTGAGAGCAAGGGCTAGTAACCTCTTCTGTATAAATTACTAAATAATAAAGGAAAACCCGCATCCATAAGTCGGGTCCACATACACACTCCTCACTTGGAGTTCACAAGTTCCAACCTATTGCTTTACACGTACATTTATTTTCATTCTCCATGGGGAAGTGGAGAAGAATCCTTCCTCCATAAGCCATGCTTGTTATAAGAGGCAACTAAAATTCCAGGAACAAGGTGCTAGTAATCCCTTCTCCTGTGTAAATTGCTAAATTGAAAAAGAGAGACTTCCATTTTTTTTTTTTAGGCCACCCTGCCTCGGTAGGAGATGGCCAGTGCATTAAAAAACAAAAGATGTGAAAATACTCACAATGTAAATTTAGCATAATAAAACCTAATTTTTTTTCACACTAAAAAAGAAAAAACACAAAATCTTCAAGTTCTTGTGGAAGATGGCCAGTGTGTTAAAAAAAAAAGTGAAAATACTCACAATGTCAATACAGCATAGTACAAAAAAAAGGCAAGTTCTTCTATTAACTTAACTTTTGATTATCCTGACACACCCTACATCTTCATTTTGGATAATGGAGCATATCCTGTATTAGAGTGAGCTGTCCAATTTACCTCTTGGTAAACCTATTCAGGTGCCTGTAACCTTTTCATACACAGGAGGGAGGGCCCTGTTTATACATCAGGTTAGGTTCCGGACTACTGCTGTACGATGGAAATAACTGTGAAGTGAAAGTCTCTTTTTTTCACTTTGAAATGCATATATCATATATTAAGTGAGCAATAGAGCTAGGCCTAAAAAATGCATATACAATACACACATTACTTACCTTAAAATATTTTTGTCCTTGTAGTGAGTGGTGAATATATTTATTGTAGGAAGTCTGAATAAATGAAGAATGGGTATAATTGAAAACCATTGCATTAGTAAAATGCCTTAAGGTGAAGTGCTGTAAAGTAGCGGATTTCCTGTAATTACCAGATTGTTGCAGACCTGTTTTTTTTTTCTGAGGTACAATTCTTCATTATCCTCTTCATGTATAACCCATTAATAATGTCTGCATCTTCTATTGATTCTGCGCATAATTATCTATCTCACAAATAAATTAACCATTTTCCTTGCTAGAGAAGTTAATACAATTAACCAATCAGTCAGTATTGGCTGCATTTTTCTTCAATTTTATTGACAGTTATCAATGAAAATACTGCGCTCAGAATTCTAAGATATAGTTACCTGAGACAGATGCAGAATCAGTAGATTAATATACTATACTATGAATATGGCTGTGTTGCAAAATTTTCCTTAATTTTATATTTCAGGCTGAGGAGTTGGATGGGTTATTAGCCGATACTCGAGAAGTATCTGAGAAGGCACTTGCAGCAGCTAATGCTTACAAGGATATTGTCTTTGCTATTGATAATGCCTACAATGCATCCTTGTCTGCCAATATATCTGCTCTAAAAGTAAGGTTCTTTAGCATCTATCGGTCTTATAAAAGTTTTTTTTTTTTTTTTTAACAAGTCGGCTGTCTCCCACTGAGGCAGGGTGACCCAAAAAGAAAGAAAATCTCCAAAAAGAAAATACTTTCATCATCATTCAACTCTTTCACCTCACTCACACATAATCACTGTTTTTGCAGAGGTGCTCAGAACACAACAGTTTAGAAGCATATACGTATAAGGATACACAGCATATCCCTCCAAACTGCCAATATCCCGAAACCCTCCTTTAGAGTGCAGGCATTGTACTTCCCATATCCAGGACTCAAGTCCAGCTATAAAAAAATAACCGGTTTCCCTGAATCCCTTCACTAAACATTACCCTGCTCACACTCCAACAGATCGTCAGGTCCCAAATACCATTCGTGTCCATTCACTCCTATTGAACACGCTCGCGCACGCCTGCTGGAAGTCCAAGCCCCTCGCAGACAAAACCTCCCTTACCCCTTCCAACCTTTTTGAGGACGAGCCCTATCCCGCCTTCCTTCCCCTGCAGATTTAAATGCTCTCCATGTCATTCTACTTTGATCCATTCTCTCTAAATGACCAAACCACCTCAAGAACCCCTCTTCAGCTCTCTGACTAATACTTTTATTAACTCCACACCTCCTAATTTCCACATTTTTAATTTTCTGCATAATATTTACACCACACATTGCCCTTAGACAGGACATCTCCACTGCCTCCAACCGCCTCCTTGCTGCTGCATTCACAACCCAAGCTTCACACCCATACAAGTGTGTTGGTACTACTATACTTTCATGCATTCCCTTCTTTGCCTCCATAGATAATGTTTTTTGTCTCTGCATATACCTCAATACACCACTCACCTTTTTACCCTCATCAGTTCTATGATTAACCTCATCCTTCATAAATCCATCTGCCGACACGTCAACTCCCAAGTATCTGAAAACATTCACTTCTTCCATACTCCTCCTCCCCAGTTTGATATCCAATTTTTCTTTATCTTTGATTCCCCATAATTTAATCTGCTCCTCTATCCACTCTATCATATGCCTTTTCTAAATCCATAAATGCAATGAAAACTTCCCTACCTTTATGTAAATACTGTTCACATATATGCTTCAATATAAACACTTGATCTACACATCCCCTACCCACTCTGAAACCTCCTTGCTCATCTGCGATCCTACATTCTGTCTTACCTCTAATTCTTTCAGTTATAACTCTACCGTACACTTTTCCTGGTATACTCAGTAAACTTATTCCTCTATAATTTTTACAATCTCTTTTGTCCCCCTTCCCTTTATATAAAGGGACTATACATGCTCTCTGCCAGTCCCTAGGTACCTTCCCCTCTTTCATACATTTATTAAACAAAAATACCAACCACTCCAACACTATATCCCCCCCTGCTTTTAACATTTCTGTCATGATCCCGTCAGTTCCAGCTGCTTTAGCCCCTTTCATTCTACGTAATGCCTCACGCACCTCCCCCACACTCACATCCTGTTCTTTGTTACTCCTAAAAGATGGTATACCTCCCTGGCCAGTGCATGAAATTACCGCCTCCCTTTCTTCGTCGACATTTAAAAGTTCCTCAAAATATTCTCTCCATCTTCCCAAAACCTCCATCTCCCCATCTACTAACTCCCCTACTCTGTTTTTAACTGACAAATCCATTTGTTCCCTAGGCTTTCTTAACTTGTTTAACTCACTCCAAAATTTTTTCTCATTTTCATTAAAATTTCTTGACAGTGCCTCTCCCACTCTGTCATCTGCTCCCCTTTTTTGCACTCCCCTCACCACTCTCTTCACCTTTCTTTTACTCTCCATATATTCTACTCTTCTTATAACACTTCTGCTTTGTAAAAACCTCTCATAAGCTAACTTTTTCTCTTTTATCACATCCATTACTCCATCATTCCACCAATCCTCTTTCCTCCTGCACCCACCCTCCTATAACCACAAACTTCTGCCCCACATTCTAATACTGCATTTTTAAAACTATTCCAACCCTCTTCAACCCCCCCACTACTCATACTTGCACCAGTCCACCTTTCTGCCAGTAGTTGCTTATATCTTACCCGAACTTCCTCCTCCCTTAGTTTATGCACTTGCATCTCCCTCTTACTTGTTGTTGCCATTTTCCTCTTTTTCCATCTACCTCTTACTCTAACTGTAGCTACAACTAAATAAAGATCCGATATGTCAGTTGCCCCTCTATAAACGTGTACATCCTGGAGCTTACCCATCAACCTTTTATCCACCAATACATAATCTAACAAACTCCTTTCATTACGTGCTATATCATACCTTATAAAAGTTTTTTTTTTTTTTTTTTTTTTTCAACAAGTCGGCCGTCTCCCACCGAGGCAGGGTGTATTTACACATAATATGAAATACTGTATATTTAGTTCAGAAGTGAAAAAACTTGAAATCACAAGTGTAGAAATGAGGCTTAATCTTTCACTAAAAACTGCAGGCTGTGGAGATGTCTGAGGGAGTGAGTGGCCAGGCAGTAGAGTCTCAAGCAAACTCAGAGGAAAAATATGGCTTAGCTGAAGTCCGAGTGCAACAAGTAAATAGGGAGTTACGTCCTCAGCTGATGCAAGCCCAAGCAGATGTGCGTGCACTTAAAGACATGAACCAGGATATTAGTAACTCCCTTGTTATCATGAACAGGTACAGTTTTATTAATAATTTATTAAGTATTCCCATGGGCAGAATGCCTTATGGTTTTAGCTTATTTATTTTTTGCTATATTCATGGTTTTTCAACATTGTTTGTAAGACAGTGTCTTAAACCAGTGCATTCTGTTTTGGGAAAAAATTTTGTAGATGATGGGAAATGTTTGTTTGTATCCAGTATTTTCCACCAATAACTTGCTACTATTGTGTGTGATGCTGTATGTTTTCTTATGAAATCATTTTCCAAAGGTAATGACACCAAAAGTATGAAAGTTGATAGAAAACTTTTTTTTAATTAGTGGTCTCGGCAGCATTTGTGCATCTATGATTTCACCCACTTTGAGTTCTATTTTAGGCCAATTCCATTGTTCCAGTCGACCAGACACATAGCTATTTTGCTAGTATGCCTTCCATTCTATCAGTTGAGTATAAGAAACCTCCCATTTAACTGTTTCATCTACCCAGTAAAGTGATAAGAAATTGGTAATTTGGCCACTTTCACACAAAATTAAAAAATGCCAATGTAGATATTCCTGGCACTAAAACATCATTTCCTCTGCTCATTATAAGTCCCCAGGCCTCTCCTATATTATACTTATTTTCCATTTTGAATTTTTATTCACACAAAAAAATAGAAGATTTACTAGTATGTAGACTACTGTATTATTGTAATTGTATAAATAATATCTACATTTGTGAACACACATTAGACCACCAGTTGGATGCGAATTAGTTGAGCAACGTAATTTGTGTCCTATGGAATTTCAGCAAAAAATCAAACATTTTGTCCAGTTTGAGCTCAGTTTCAAGCTACTTTCAATCCTGAAACCAATCAAAATCATCTCTAATTTTTGTCGTACAGTGGTACCTTGACTTACGAGTGCCCAAACTTATGAGTTTTCCAAGTTAGGAGCTGTTGCTTGGTTGATACAAATACAGTGGACCCCCACATAACGATCACCTCCGAATGCGACCAATTATGTAAGTGTATTTATGTAAGTGCGTTTGTACGTGTATGTTTGGGGGTCTGAAATGGACTAATCTACTTCACAATATTTCTTATGGGAACAAATTCGGTCAGTACTGGCACCTGAACATACTTCTGGAGTGAAAAAATATCGTTAACCGGGGGTCCACTGTACAAATTTTTATTTCTTTGCAAGTTTACATGTGGTTGGCGTGTTGTAGGGATTCTTATTTACATTGATAGCTTACAGTGTATTTACAGTAATGATTTGCAGTGCAAAGAGAGCCGCTATCTTGCCTTGGCATTATGGGCAGACTACATTTAAGGGCATACAGACTACTTAATACGAGACAAATAGATCATAGTTTTGTTTAAGTCATACATTTGTTTTCATATATAGTATAACAAACAGTAAATCTACTCAAATTACAACATGGGAATATTACAATGGGACAAGTTCAAAGTATTATATAGGTTGTATATATCAGCAGTAAAATTATTTAAACCACAGTATGGGAATATTACAATGCACCATTTTGAAAGTAGTTTACAGTATGAGAATGTTACAGTTGAGCGTAAGGCAGTATTGTTTTGGGCAGGTATTGTTTTTTAATACTTGACGTGCTGTTGGAGTGTGAGCAAAGTAACATTTATGAAGGGATTCAGGGAAACCGGCAGGCCCGGACTTGAGCCCTGGAGGAGGGGAAAGTACAGTGCCTGCACTCTGAAGGGGGGGTTTTAAATTTTGCATTTTAAAAAAATGTAGGGTAAAGGGCCCCCTTTCCCGGGCAAGACAGTGATGGAGTAAATGATGGTGAAAGTTTTTCTTTTTTGGGGCCACCCTGCCTTGGGGGGAATGGGCCCCGGGGTGTTTAATAAAAAAAAATTAAAAAATTGGGTTTTTTAAAAAAATTTGTAGTTTTAAGAAATGTAAGTGGGCCCCCCCAACTTATCCCGGCGGGTTGGGTTTTCCAGGCTCCCACCTTTAAAGCAAAAAATCCCCGGGAAAAAGTGAAAAAACCCTTGTTTTCCACTATAAATCCCATACAAAACAAGATAAAAAAGTTTACACTAACATATATTAAGTTAGCAATAGAACTAGGCATAAAAAAACAATAAAAAAGTAAATTACCCACACAGTGCACTCTTTTGCTTTCCCTTAAAATATTTATAGTCTTAATCTGGGTGAGAAATTTAGTTATTTTTTTGAAAGAAATCAAGTGTGGTAGGGATGGTAGTCAGCCGGGCAACCTTTCCCCACATAATTTTCTATTACATTTAAGCACCCCAAAGAGCTTTTAAAAGGGAATTTTTAAAAAAAGGGTTTTAACCTTTAAACTTCCCTTAAAAAATATTTGGTCTTAACCCTTGGGGTGAGATGATAGTATTTATTGTAAAAAAATAAGTGGGGTATTTTTTATGGAGCCACCCAGTCCATACCGGGCCCCAACCCCCCCCACACTACTATTCATGATATTTAAGCATCCCAGAGCGATAAAATGAAATTTACGGGTTCACCCCTTTATTTCCCTTTAAAAAATTTTTTGTAGTCTTAATTTTAGGGCCCAAGGATTTAAGAAAAATGAGATAAAATGAATAAATGAGAGAGAGAAAAAGAATGAGTACATGAAAAGAGGGGCAGGGGACAGAGTTATTAAACAAAACCCGGCAAAAATTTAAATTTTGTAAACAAAAAAAATGTACACGTCTGGGTTTTTGGGACAAATTACATTGTGTACAAATTGTCTTTTACATTGATACGGTAGAATAAATAAAACACTCCCCTTCTCTGTAACATCATTTTGAGAAGAAAAATGCTTGAGTGAAGGTTTTAAGGGGAAAAAGTCACTTTGAAAATTTTTTGGGTTTTTTTCCTAGGGGTTTTCAACACTTTGGGTGTTATGTATGTAAATTTTTGTAAAAGTATTTGTGTATTCCCGAATAAAAATTTTCATACATACGAAAGGATTAAATTTTTTTAAAGTTTAACCCCCCGTAAAACTTTTTTTTTTTTTTAGATTAAGAAAATGTTTTTCTTGCCATCACTTGGGACAAATTACGGCTAAACCCCATCTCATACTTTTTTTTTTCTATTGTGGGGTGTTTTTTATCTTTTTATGTTATGTTTATGTTTATTATGTAATTTTGAAAAAAAAAATCGGGGAGGGATTAATTAAAAAAGTGTATATTAATTAATATACGGCATTTAAGAATCGATGGTTATTTTTTATTATTATTATCAATTTTCTCCTTTTAAAAATGGGTCACTTGGCAAAACGTCTGCTACCACATCTCAAAATTTTTTTTTTTTTTTTTCCCAAAAAGTCCCGGGGGTCCCCCCCCCCAAGGGAGGGTGACCCCAAAAAAAAAAAAAGGGAAAAACCCCCCAAAAAAAAATACTTTTCATCCAATTTTTAAATTTAACACTTTTACCACACTCACACTTATCACTGTTTTTCGGGGGTGCCCCAGAATACAAAAAATTTTGAACATATACATATAAAGATACACAAAATAACCCCCCCAAACTGCCAATATCCCAAACCCCTCCCTTTAAATGCAGGCATTGTACTTCCCCCTTTCCCAAAACTCCAAATCCGACTATATGAAAAATTTAAAAAGGTTTCCCCGAAAACCATTTACTTTAAAAATTACCCGCTCACAACCCCCAACAGATCGTCAGGGGCCCAAGTAACCCCTTTGTTCCCCAATTTTACCCTATCTAACACGCTAAAGCACCTTTTCTGGAAGTCCAAGCCCCTTTTTCCAAAAAAAACCTTTCCCTTTTTAAACCCCCCCCTCTCCAACCCCTTTTTAAGGAAAACCCCTACCCCGCCTTCCTTTTCCCCCATGATTTAAAGCTTTTTATGTTTAATTTTACTTTTATCCATTCTCTCTAAATGGCCAAAACCCCCTCAAAAACCCCTCTTCTGCTCTCTGACTAATACTTTTATGAACTCCACACCTTTCCAAATTTCCACACTCTGAATTTTCTGCATAATATTTACACCACACATTGCCCTTAGACAGGACATCTCCACTGCCTCCAACCATCTCCTCGCGCTGCATTGACCACCCAAGCTTCACATCCATATAAGAGTGTTGGTACTACTATACTTTCATACATTCCCTTCTTTGCCTCCATAGATAACGTTTTTTGACTCCACATATACCTCAGCGCACCACTCACCTTTTTTCCTCATCAGTTCTATGATTAAACTCATCCTTCATAAATCCATCGCCGACATGTCAACTCCAAGTATCTGAAAACATTCACTCTTCCACACTCCTCCCCAATTTGATAACCAATTTTTCTTTATCTAAATCATTTGATACCTTCATCACCTTACTCTTTTCTATATTCACTTTCAACTTTCTACCTTTACACACATTCCCAAACTCATCCACTAACCTTTGCAATTTTTTCTTTAGAATCTCCATAAGCACAGTATCATCAGCAAAAAGTAACTGTGTCAATTCCCATTTTAAATTTTTGATTCCCCAAAATTTAATCCCACCCCTCTCCCGAACACCCTAGCATTTACTTCCTTTACAACCCCATCTATAAATATTATTAAACAACCATGGTGACATTACACATCCCTGTCTAAGACTACTTTTACCGGGAAGTAGTCTCCCTCTCTTCTACACACCCTAACCTGAGCCTCACTATCCTCATAAAAAACTCTTTACAGCATTTAATAACTTACCACCTATTCATATACTTGCAACATCTGCCACATTGCTCCTCTATCCACTCTATCATATGCCTTTTCTAAATCCATAAATGCAATAAAAACTTCCCTAGCTTTATCTAAATACTGTTCACATATATGCTTCAATGTAAACACTTGATCTACACATCCCCTACCCTCTCTGAAACCTCCTTGCTCATCCGCAATCCTACATTCTGTCTTAAATCTAATTCTTTCAATTATAACCCTACCGTACACTTTTCCTGGTATACTCAGTAAACTTATTCCTCTATAATTTTTAGTCTCTTTTGTCCCCTTTTCCTGTATATAAAG